TTGGCAGATGAATCACAGAAGAGACCTTTGGGATTTTGGAGCAAGACTCTACCATCATCTGCAGACAATACTATTCTCTCTTAGAAAGACAACTCTTTATCTGCTATTGGGCCTTAGTGGGATCTGAACATTTGACAATGGACCACCAAATAACCATGCAACCTTACCTGCCTGTTATAAGCTGGGTGTTATCTGACCCACCAAGTCATAAAGTAGGCCATGCGCAGCAGCAATCTATCATCAAATGGAAGTGGTACCTATGAGATTAATCCCAAGCAGGTCCTGAAGGCATAAGGAAGGTACATGAAGTTGCCCAAATGCTTGTTTTTTCACTCCAGTTACAATGATGTTTTCTGCCAAGCATGTATCTATAACCTCATAGATGACAGGTTGACTGAAGAAGAGAAGGCTAGGGTCTGGTTTACTGATGATCCTGCACATTATACAGGCACCCAGAAATGGACAGCTGCAGCATTACAACCCCTTTCTGGGGCAACCCTGAAAGATACTGGTGAAAGAAAATCTTCACAATGGGCAGAAGTTTGGGTAGTACACATGGCTATACAGTTTGTTTGGAAGGAGAAATAGCCAGATGTCCAATTTTCCACTGATTCATGGGCTGTAGCCAATGAATAGTCAGGGACTTGGATAAAGCATGAATGGAAAACTGGTGAAAAGACATCTAGGGAAGAAGAGTGTGGATAGATCTCTCCCAATGAACAAAAGATGTGAAGATACTTGTGAGTCATGTGAATGATCATCAAAAGATGACTTCAGTTGAGGAGAAGTTCAATAATCACGTAGATAGGATGACCTATTCTGTGGACAGGCAGCCTCTTGCCCCAGCCATTCCTGGCATTGCCCAGTGGGCCCATGAAAAAGTGGCCATGGTGGCAGAGATGGGGGTTATACATGGGCTCAGCAACGTGGGCTCCCACTCACCATGACTGACCTGGCTACAGCTGCTGCTGAGTGCCAGATCTGCCCCAAAGCCAAGACTATTGCTAAACTTCACATATGGCACCATTCCCTCGGGTAGCCAGCCAATGACCTAGAGGCACACTGATTACATTGGACCACTTCCTCTGAGAAAGAACAACACTGGAGTAGACACTTATTCTGGTTATGGACTTGCCTTTTCTGCACATAATGCTTCTGCCAAAACCACTACAGAATGCCTTATCCACTGTTATGGTATTTCACCAAGTACTGCATCTGACAAGGCACCCACTTCACAGCCAGAGAAGTGGGACAGTGGGCCCAGGATCAGAGAATTCACTGGTCTTACCATGCTCCCCATCATCCTGAAGCAGTTGGCCTGATGGAATGATGGCCTTTTGAAGACAGTTATAGTTCCAGCTAGATGGCAGGAGCCTGGAGAGTCGGGGCAGGGTTCTCCAGAAGGCAGTATATAGTATGTGGTACTATTTCTCCCGTAGCCAGGATCCACGGGTCCAGGAGTCAAGGGTGGAAAAGGGAATAGTTACACTCACTATCACCCCTAGTGACGCATTAGGGAAATTTCTGCTTCTTTTTCCTGTGACATTAAGTTCTGCTGGTCTAGAAGTTTTTATTCCAATGAGGGAAATATTCCTTCCAGGAGCCACAACAAACATTCCATTAAACTGGAAGCTGAGACACCCCCTGAGCACTTTGGGGTTCTCATGTCCTTGGCCAACAGGCTAAGAAAAGAATAGCCATGTTAGGAGGCATGGTTGAAACAGGTTACTATGGGGAGACTAGAATATCCCTCCATAATGGAGGTACGAATGATCATGTCCGGAGTGCAGGAGATCCTTTAGGGTGTCCCTTGGTCCTACCATGTCCTATGACTGAAGTCTATGGAAAACTACAGCAACCTCATCCAGACAGGATGACAAAGGGCACAGACCTGATATGAGTCACTCATCCAGGAAGAGGGAAGACCTGCAAGGGTTCTTGCTGAGAGTGGAAGAAATACAGAATGGGTGGTAGAGGAAGGTACTTATAAAGACCAGCTAAGACCACGTGATCATTGCAGAAACAAAGATTGTAATAGACATGAGTGTTTTGTCCTATTTTGTTAAGAATGTGTTTGTACAGATATTTGTGTTTTCTTTCTTTGATTTCTTTGTTGTGTAATATAACAAAAATTAAGAGAGTATCAGTGGCTATCATATTATGTTTTGAGATACCAAAAGAATGTCTCTCAAGGGATATTACCACCTATTCTAAAATTTATAATGCATTTGTGGTTTACAAGGGATACTTCCATCATGTTATGCACCCTGTTAAATATACAATGCTTTTGCAGTTGTACATAGAATAACTATATAGGTGTAATTATGACCTGGTTATTACGTTAATTTGGAAATTAAGCATGATATAAGGGACAGATCGTGTCTTAAGTTGGCAAGGGGTGAAGCTGTGATGGCTAGTCTTAGTTGTCAACTGACTACATCTGAAATTAATTAAAACCTGAGCTCAGTACAGCTAGCTGTGAGGAATTTTTTTCTCTAAATCAATCATTTCAAGGTGGGAGAATCCAGCATTCATCCTGCTACCGGCTCATACAGAGCAGATGGAGGAGGGAAGCTCCCTCTCTGCCTGCTTGCTCTTGCTCTACAGGTAAATCCATTCCCCTCTATATGTTGTGAATACCATTGGTTAATGAATAAATCTGCTTTTTTTCCTATTGCAGCACAGAGTAGGGCAAGGTGGGAATTCCAAGCAGATAGAGGAGGAGAGAGTAGGCAGAATCAGAGAGAAGCCATGTAGATGCCACAGGAGACAGATGCCAGTCGCCAGACAGAACCTTATTGGTAGGCCACAACCACATGGCCATGCACAGATTAATAGAAACTGGTAAATTTAAGATGTAAGAGCTAGATAGAAATATGCATAAGCTAATAGGCTAAAAAGTATTGTAATTAATATAGTTTCTGTGTGATTATTTTGGGTCTGGGCAGCCAGGAAATGAACAAGCAGCCTCCTTCTACACATTCTGTCACTGGCATTAGAGCCCACTTCTTCAGGATTCCGGTGTATACTAAAGGATAGCTGAGACCAGACCTTTGTCAGTTGCGGGGTTGGTGAAGATCTCCCAGTCAGTGGGTTGCCTTTCTGTCTTAGCAACAGTGTCCTTTGCTTTACAGAAGCTTCTCAGTCTCAGGAGGTCCCATTTATTCAATGAGGCCCTTACTGTCTGTGCTGCTGGGGTTTTACGTAGAAAGTGGTCTCCTGTGCCCACGTGTTGTAGAGAATTTCCCACTTTCTCTTCTATTGCTTATTGGATGAATACACAGCACTCAGGTAAGCTGAGCACCACAGTTATTTAACACTGAATGTCATACAAATTGGCACTTCTCTGCACAATCAAACTTATCAAACTTATTTAGTTGTCTTAAAATAAATAAATGTCTGACACTAGATTTATAAATAGTGCACTTAAAGACTGGAGATTCTTTTATCCATTTCAAGAAGGTCCATTCTCTGTAGTCATTAAAAAACTATTTAAATTACATTTGCATCTAAATAAAATCAAAGTGGCAATATCAAAACTGAACTTTCTCTTCATAAAACCAATTCTCAAACTTACAGTGGTGTTTATCAAATGAATTATGGAAGACAGAGCCAGGGATTGCCATATTATCCTCATAGGCACATATAATAACCTGATTTCTAGCTTCTCTTTTATTACTGCTTTTAATTTTTTAAGATTTATTTTACAGAGAGAGGGAGGAAGGGGGGGGAGAGAGAGAGAGAGAGAGAGAGAGAGAGAGAGAGAGAGAATATGTGTTTGCATGCCCTGAGTGAGTGCAGGTGCATGCAGAGGCCTGAGAAGGCTTGGATATCCTGGAGCTGGGGTTACAGGTGTTGGTATCTGCCTGATGTGGGTGCTAGGAACTTCACTTGCTCTGCTCCTCTGGAAGTATCTCTGGATATACTCCTAAGTGCTGCGGCATTGTCAGTCCCTTTAGCACATCTACCAGCATCTAGTTTTACATGTTCACATTCATGGCTAAAATATTTTTAAATTCTATTAAAATCACTAATTATGCTTCAGGTAAAAAGGAATTAAAGTCAACAGTAACATCAATACCATTCAATTGAATCATATGGACTGCCAACACAATTTATTTTTGATCTATAAAATTATATGTGTGTGTGTGTTATTGTGAATAGTTTTATAATTGTGTGCAGGATATTCCAAGGGGGAAATTCCTGAACATAATTCATAAAACTCTTCATGACAAGATATATAGAAAATTATGAGTAATGAGGAAAGAAGAGGAAAAGGAAGACAGAAGCGTGGTTTACTTACACCACAAAGGCTCAGACCCAGGGCCTTTGCGTGTGCATTCTAGCACCGACTCTCATTCAGCTGCACCTATTACATCAGCAAACGGTGTGCAAAACATGCACACCAACTTGTATGCAGGGACACCAACATCAGGTTTCAAACCACTGGCAGAAGTGGTTATTTTTATTCTGTTTCTCATGTAGACTTTTTGTTTTTTGTTTTTGTTTCTTTGTTTTATCTTCATTAATAACTGTTCTGGTTAGTTTTTTGTTTTTGTTTCATCTTGACATAAGTCAGACTTATTTGGAGAGACCCTCAAGTCAGAAAAATGCCTCTATAAAATTGGTCTGTAGGCAAGCCTGTGGTGACGTGGGATGCCCCCTTTGTATGCTGTGAATATGTTTTATTACCATTGGTTAATAAAGGAGCTGATTTGGCCTATGGCAGGGCAGAATATAGCTAGGTGGGAAATTTAAACAAAGAAAAAGGGAAAAGGAAGACAGAGTCTAGAAGATGCCAGCAGCTGCTGATATAGAATATAGTGCCTCATGGCAAAATAATAGAAATGGGTTAATTTGAGTTGTAAAACCTAGTTAATATTAAGCCTGATCTAATAGGCCAAACCATTTTTAATTAATATTAAGCCCCAGGAACTGGCGGGAGGGAGAGAAACCTTCAGTTACACTGTGGAGCTTTTTCTTGGTTAATGATTGATTCAGGACAGCCCAATTCACTATGGAAACACCACTCTGGCAGGCGGTTCTGCCAGAAGAAGGTCGACAGAAGAAAGTAGACAGAAGGAGGTGAGTTCACAATCTACAGGGAACAAACCAGGAAACAGTGTTCCTCCATGGCCTCTACCTAATTCCTGCCTCCAGGTTCTTGAGTTGACTTCATGACGGACACAACAGTTTCCTCCCCAAGCTGCTTTGATCATGGTGTTTGCCACAATAATTCTGTTTATCTACATAAAGGCACAGAAAGTTAGATTGACCTTGCCCCTTTGCACTTGCCCCCAAATCTCTCCCACCCCAGCCATCTTCGAAGTAAGCTAACACAAACTCTTGCCAGAATGTGCAGTAGTTTCCCTCCCGGTCTCCGAGCACAGTGGAAGTTTCCCTTCCTATGCTGTGACCCTGTGTTGTGGTGACTGCCAACCACGACATTAGCTTGCTGCTATTTCAAACCTGTAATTTTGCTACTGTTGTGAATTGTAATGTAAATATCTGGTATGTAGGGTATCTCAAATGCCACCCCTCTGTGGGGGTCGCTACCCACGGTTGAGAACTTCTCTTAGCACCTTCTTTATCTCTTAAATCATGGGACTTCCTTTTGTTATTTCTTATCTGAATTAAACCAGATAAACTTTAACAAACACGAGTCAGCTGGGCGGTGGTGGCACACACATTTAATCCCAGCACTTAGGAGGCAGAGATCTCTGTGAGTTCGAGGCCAGCCTGGTCTACAAGAGCTAGTTCCAGGAGAAAGAAAGAAAGCACATTTATGACCACATTCCTGTTGTTCTCTTAAAGTCTCCTATTGATTCTCATCTATATAAAAATCAGGTCTCTATCATAAACATCAATCTGGTTCCTGGTGGCAGCACAGACAATGGACATCAACAAAACCTGTCGGGGCATTGCAGGCCATGGGCACCAGCATGATCTCCGGAAGCAGTGTGGATCACAGAAGTCTTTCAAGGAGGTATAATCCAGAAAACAAACAGTTCTTCATCCCAGATATCTTGTTGCTCAGAGGCAGTGTGTCTGGGGGCAGGACCTGCGTGAACTCCACCACCCTGCCCTTGGCACTAGCCACCTACCTAACCATGCCATACTTGTAGCTTGGTTGTGAGGAGTGTGGTCAGCTAGCTGTCAGCTGTTACCTGCTTCATATCCCCTTCACCGCTGAGCTAAGGTGCTGTTCTCTTTGGGGGTGCACCCCCCAATGACTGAGCAAAGCCATGACAAAGGTCAGATGCAGAGCCAGTGTCAGCACTATGTACTATCACTCTGACTTCTAGGGGACTAAGGAATATTTCTGCCTGGGACTTGAATCAAATAAGCTCATGTTTCTTGCAATTCTTCTTGGCATTGAAGACATCTTGGCATCATATAAATAACTTTCTGAATGAGCTATTTGTTCAATTAGTTAAGAGTAAGACTGAGGTCAAGGTTGTTAATCTATTTCCTATTAGCCAGTTAGTTTCAGAAATGCTAGCTAGTTAAAAATGGGCTTAGACCCCTTGGCCACATACTTTGTCTAGTCATTCTCAACTGTCTTAGTTTTTCTGCCACATAAACAGTCTACATGTGGTGTCAGATGGAGGAAGAGTGTTAGTGTGGTTAGTGACAAGGAAGGTTCCTGAACTGAAGTCTAAATGGAAGGGAATAACTGTTGTTTTCTGCTATGGAAGCATCTTCTAATTCATTACTAGAAAAGCAACAATCCACAGCCAGGTGTGGCGTTACAACCTGTAATCTCAGTGTTCAGGAGGCTGAATCAGGAGGATTGGCACAAATCTAGGCCATTCAGGGCTACATTGTAAATTCAAGGCCAGCCTATGTGTGAGGTACTGGGAAGAAATAAGGGTTCCAGCAAGGTCAGATCAGACCCTCAGGACTCACATTAAAAGGATGATCATGGCAGAATGCACATTTAACCCCAGCACTTGGTGGACTACGGAGACTGGAGGATTGCTGGGACTTGCTGGTCAATCAGCCTAGCTGAAAAACAGCAAACTCCAGATTCAGTGAGAGATCCTCTCAAGGCAACAAGAGGAAGAAGTGATAGAGGGAGATGCTTGCTGTCCTCTTCTGACTTCTGCATATACTAAGCCCAGGCACAGGCATGTGCACTGGGACACGTGTGCACACACAACATAAAGAACAAAAAAAAAGGAAGAGGAGAAGGAGAAGAGAAAGTCATTAACCCAAGTCAACCATCTACATGTTCATCCATCAGATACTTGTAGACCAGGAGAGAGCTGTAGTCACCCTCGTCTCCATCTTGAGCTACACCCACAGTTTCACATGAGCAGTTTGTTCAGTAGTGCTTGCTAGGAAGACATGTCTGGAGGTCTACCACACTCTTTATTTCTCTTTCTCTAGTTAACCATCCTTCCTTCATGTTAAAAACACACTGACCTGTGTAGTGGTATTAATAAGAAAACTAAGTTCTTCCATGGACAGGCTGAAGGACCTTGTACTTGAGCTTTGTGGGTCTTAATTCACACTATGGTGAAGTGAATAAAATACTGCACACCAGACAGAGCTGGCGCAAGGCTGACATAAATAAAACTTAAACACCTGCCTCTTTCAAACAGTATTTTGTTTCTAGTTTCAGTAAATGAAATTTGTACTAATACAAAATACGTTTCTGTTATAACTGTGTGTCATTGGAGGCAGACGCTTGGCATAATTTCTGCTTGGAACTCCAACAGCAAATATGACTTTGAAAAAAACTGTTTTTCCTTAATGATAGGATTATGTCCAGTCTATTGATGTCCAAAAGTCTCTGAGGTAAAAACAGCTGATGCAACTTGGCTATCAGCTTAGCAGTTCAGATTCGGGTGTCAATGTCCTCTGGACAAAGATTGAGGGGCCCTTGGGGGCGGTCAAGTTAGCCTTAGGAAGACCTTTCCTGACAATCTTTAAAAATTTTTAAAAGATTTATTTTTTTATGTGTGTGTGCTTGCATGAGTTTATATGTATCACATGTGGGCAGGAGGCCACAGAGGCCAAAAGAGGGTGTGTGATCCCCTTTAACTGAAGTTGCAGTCAGTTATGAGCTTCCATGTGGCACCAGGCACCAGACATGCAGTAGTACACAGACACACACACAAAACAAATATTCATAAACATAAAATAAACACATTTTCAAAAACGACCAATGCATCTACTTCCACACTTCACTCGAGTCTTAGAGCAAAGATCTCTACACATTCGACCTCTCAGTTCAGCTCTCCCCCCGCTCCCCAGAGTTGGCTTTCTGACTCCAAGCCAGATTCAGAGTTCCATCCGACAGCAGGTTGCAATGGCAGCTCTCTTGAGCACCCACTATTTTTCTTGAGAATATGTTTTGAGAAATCTAAGGTTACTAAATCAATCCATAGGAGATGAGACTGTCAAGTTTGAAAAGGGCAGGAGCAATCCTTGGCCTCACATCAATAAAAGAGAAAACATTCCACAGGGGCTGAGGGAAGGTGGAGGAGATTCATAGTTTAAAAAAACAAAAAACAAAAAAAAAATCCCATTGAACTCAGAAACTGTATAAGAACAAAGGAGGAGCTGGGAAGTGAAGTGCAGCCACCATCAGGAGAGATCAATTCTGACAGATAGACAATTTTATTTCCTACCAAAATGAAGTTGCTGCTGCTGCTGGGTTTGGAGCTGACTCTAGTCTGTGTCCACACAGAAGGACAAACTGGTGCCATCGGAAAGAGCTTTACTCCAGAAAAGGTAGGTTCGTGGGGAATAGTGACTTCTTGACCCAGAGGATGCTTCGTGGTCCTTTGAGGGGAGGGGTGCAGTTCCTCAAACAAGCAAACAAATGAGTGGCTTCAGACGGTTAAGTTAGACTACATCTAAGAATGCTTGGGGTCCTTCACTCCCACTAGGAGACAGACACAGGATGTGAACTATTGTGCCAACTGATGTGTGTGCTCATGTCCTGGCCCATAGGCCAGAGTTCAAGTAGAAACATGTCCATGAGGTGTTCCTGCCCTTCCTCCCTTAACAATTTGCTTATCTTTTGCAGATTGAGGGAGAATGGTATTCTGTTGGCTTGGCCTCCGACAAAAGAGAAATAATAGAAGAACATGGCAGCATGAGAGTTTTTGTGGAGCACATCCATGTCTTCAAGAATTCTTCCTTAGCCTTTCATTTCCATACTGTGTAAGTGTGGTGTTTTAGCTGAGAAAGAGAAAATGGAAGCCTCCCATGTCTCAAGCCTGTACACATACACACACACACACAAATACACACATATATGTATACATACATATACATATATATACACACACTCACACACATACATCTATATGTATACACACATAAGGAGAAAAACATACCCCTCACAGTGTACATGTATACACACGTGCACACATATATACAGAACTGTGCCTTTCACAGTATGCACACACACACTGAGTCTGTGTCCGATACTAGAGTCTCCCATCAGACACTAAATCAAGATTTCATAACCAGGGTTTTTTTTTTTTTTGAAAGTCAGAGACAAGAGTCGGTGATAGGAATAAATTCACTGGGAATGGAATATGTAAAGATCAGAGACGTTTCTGAAACCATACTTACTGAGACGTATTGCACAGCTTTGAAGTATATGACAGTGAATTAAATTTTTCTTATTAGGTGTTAGCTAAGAAAATCCACCCCTTCAACTCGAATTTTCCTGCAGTAAAGGGAAGTAATAACTTCTCCTCTGCAGATTTGGGTGGGGACACATCGCGTAACACTTGCCACATTTGCAAAGCATGACTTGATGCAGATGTGGAAATCTGGCTGACAATCTGCACAATGGACAGTGATGCTGAGAAGCCGTCAGAGTTGTAACAGTGATGCAAAGTGATTGCCATTATTTAAATACGAGGCAAATATGTGATTACTAAGTATCAAATATAAGTAAAATAACACAATGAAGGCCTTTTGTTAATTTTATAATAATATTCAAAAGTTAACTGGAATCAGAAACTGGAGATATGGATAGAGCAGAGACGGAGGAAGCCAGCCATATCAGTTTCCTTAAGCACCAGCTTACTCTGTTTTACAGGATAAATGGGGAGTGCACCGAGCTGTATTTAGTTTCTGACAAAACAGAAAAGGATGGTGAATATTATGTCAAATGTGAGTATATAAAAAATCTATATATCTATCCATAAGGAATTTAGTAAACCCTAGTATCTTATTTGTGTGTGTGTATGTGTGTGTATATGTGTGTGTATGTGTGTGTGTATATGTGTATGTTTGTGTATGTGTGGATGTGTATGTGTTTTTGTGTATGTGTGTATACATGTGTGCATATGTGTGTATGTGTATGTATATGTGTGTGTATGTGTGTATATGTGTGTGTATGTGTGTGAGAGAGAGACACACACATGCACATGGCTGGGGCTTTAACTCAAGGCCTTGTACACACTAGGCAAACTCTCTATTACTAAACCACACCCACAACCCTCTTTAGAATCCCAGCTGCTCCTGATCATTGATTATTTAGCTAATGCAACAGGGGCCATCTAATAGCTCGCATCCCGGCCACAGGTAGGTGGAACAAGTATGGTAAGACGGCTCCTTGTCTCCTGTCATCTCATTATGCCCCAACAGTTGCCACCAGTGCGCATTGCTCAGAATGTGGCAGCAGGTATGTCAGTAGAAGCTGTGGAGAGAGGAAGCCAGGCCTCAGAGAGGGAAAAAGAAGCTGAGTTGCTTGTTGCTAACTGTTCAGGAGAGGTCAGTCTACCAGTGTCCCTTCTCCTAAAGATACTTCATGTATTCGGAGACTGATAATTCGTTTCCGGGCCGCTCAGACCTGAATAATCACACAGAAACTACATTAATTACAACACTGTTTGGCCAATGACTCAAGCGCATTTTTAGCTAGCTCTTCCATCTTGAATCAACCCATTTTTCTTTATCTGTGTATTGCCGTGAGGCTGTGTCTTACAGGGTAAGGTTCTAGCTGGAATCTGTCTCCCTCAGCAGCTACATGGCATCTCCTTGACTCTGCCTACTCTCTCTCTCTCTATTTCTGTTCTGGTTTCCGGCCTGGCTTTATTCTGCTAAGTCATTGGTCCAAACAGCTTTATTCATCAATTATAAAAGCAATACATATTCAGAAGGACATCCCATATCAACTTCATGAAGTCAGAAGAGCAACAGATGAAAAGCACCAGACATTTCCCGCCATCCCTTTTAGAATGTCCATTTTAACTCTTTTCTATGTGGGGTAGAACAAGTAAAAGGTTTTCATTATTTCCTGTGGAACAAAGAATTTCTGAGCTGTGTTCCATTTCCTCCACAGATGATGGAGACAATATCTTTAATGTACTTGCTACAGACTATGATGGTTATATTATATTTCATCTCAGAAATATCAACAATGGAGAAATGTTCCAGCTGATGGAGCTCTATGGTAGAGTATTTTCACACAGACACTGATCTTGGGGTGGGAAAAAAAGAGAAGAAAGAAATCCTAACTCTAACATGGTCTTTCCAGCCTGACCCTGAACTGCCTCTTTCTTATATTCTGAAGAGAGATGCTTACCTCTGTCATCCCTCAGGCTCAGTGGTGGGAGGACTCTGAAATCTCTCAGTGTGCTGGAAAGATATTCTGTGGATGTCAAATTCAGGACAGGTCATATCCATGACTCCCAACCGTGCTGTCAATACTTTTCTCATCCTTCTGGAGGAGCTGCCCCGTCATTCAGCTCAGTGAATGTGGTCAACACATAAAATGCAATCACTACTGTCACTGTTATTTTTCACAGGCCGGAAACCAGAGCTGAGTTCAAACATCAAGGAAAAGTTTGTGGATCTATGTAAGAAGCATGGAATTGTTGAGGAGAATATATTGGACCTAACTGGGGTTGGTAAGTCAAGACTCATTTATTTTTCTCTGCCTAAATTTTATATCATGATAAACCCAAGGGATTGCCAACCAGATATTGCAGCTGAAGAAGCATCTAGTTTCTCTTGGGGAAATAAAGTCGTACCTGATACCTGAATGTGTTCTTGTTCTCACCCTGCAGATCGCTGTCTCCAGGCCCGAGATGGAGGAGAGGCCTGAGCCTCCAGGTGGGTAATTTTCAGGTGAGAATGAAGACAGGGTAGGCAGGAATGAGGACCTTCCAAAATGGGGCACATTAGTATTGTGCCCCAAAATAACAATAAAAATAATTTAATAAGGAACATTTGAGGAGAGCTAAGTCTGTGATTTAGTCTTACCATGACTTTAAATGAGTGACCCAAGCAATTAAACAAGGAAACAAGGATGCATACTGTATATATGCATACCTTGTGCAGTTGTGTGAAAATGGCTCAGCAATGCATTAAGTGTCATGTGAGTACAGACGCTTACCAGTGTGTGTGGTCTACTTCCCTCCCATTCCTTATGATAACATCTCCTTTGAACCCTGTACAGCCTTGACTTCTTACCTGGGGATGGACCTGCCAAATCTGCACTTCTCCTCCAATCTGGAGAGCAAGCTGAGTTCTCTCATCTGTCCTCTTTCCTGTTTAGTCAAAGACTTCACTCTGATAATGTGTGAAAGTCTTTGAAAAGTAGCCAAGGCTTTTATCATTATTTTTCACTTTACTGAAAATTATTCACAATTTTATGATGAATCATTTCTCTGTTCCACCAGCCAGCTCCCAAATAATAACACAAAGACTTATTATTAATGATGGAAGTTTGACCTATAGCCTAGGCTTGTTTCTAACTAGCTCTTATAACTTAAATTAACCCATTCTTATTAATCTACATTCATGCAGTTTTACCTCTCTTCCATCTTGCACCTCCTGGTGACTCCTCTCTCCCTCCCTCTCTCTTTCTCTCTCTCTCTCTCTCCCTGGAAGTTCCACCTAAAGCTCCTGCCTTGTGATTGGCCATTTATCTCTTTATTAAGCCAATCATAGTGACACATCTTCACATACTGTACAAATATCCCACAAAAGAGTTTCTTATGCCAAAGATAGTAGAAACAAGCCTCATATCTTTCATTACTTTCTTTTATTTTTTCATATGTCGTCAATAAGGAAAAAGTCATTTATTCTATGCCATTCAGCCCGGTATTCTGGTAAGGAACATCAGTTAGACGGCAGGGAAAGGTCTGTTTCTTCATCCTTTGCTCTATGTAATAGAATGGCTCTATGTCCTGACGTCACCCCAAATAATGCTTAATGAGTTTCTGTATTCTTTCTTCCTGGCGTACTCAGTGTTGAATGAGGACTCCTCACCTGGACTCCAACATCATCCCTTCCTGTGCACACACCAGCCTGTGACAAATTCTGTGATCTGATTCCCATCACCGTCCTCCAGAAAGTGTAACCCCTGCATCCCCAGAATCTTCCCTGATTGCCTAGGACAACTCATCTAGAATCAAAGGTTTTCCTTTAAGTTTCTCTTTGCCACACCCATGACAACTCCATGAATGTTTTCCTTTCTCTGTCCAATAAATGAATACACTTGCAGTTTCATATATGTCTCTGTGTCCAAGAAAATGTAGGACTGACAGTGAGTGAATGACGGGACTTGCTGGGTCCTATACTCAAGATCCTTCCTCGTGTCCCAGAATCTAACCTGGGTTTCAGGATTTTACCTCCTCTTCAACAATCTCAAGTCCCAGTGAGTGCTGCCTGTTCGTTGGTTCACCATTTTAGTGACCTTTTAAGGAGAATAGGAACACAGATTTGGAGCACACTTCCTCCATCCATCGCATCTCTTTTTTCAACAGAGCATGGAGAGACACATGCTCCTGAGGTTATACCTTCTCAGCATTGCTCAAGACAAGCTCTGTGGAAAAGAGAATGGTTTGGTCATTAGAGGCACAAAGACTAAAGAGAAAAGGTCATTTACCTCCCCACAGCATGCTCTGACCCCTGATCAAGATTTAAGCTCATGACTCCTGATTCAAGTTCTTGATGTACTTTGCTAAAATATGGCAAAACAGTATTGAGAAAGTCAACCAATTATGTTGGAATCCCCCTCACTCCTTCCATCCTACGCCATGATGGACTTTTACTGTTTCCTAGGTTGGCCTGAAATTCCTGGGTCCAAGTCATTCTCTGGCCATAGCATCCTAAGTGTCTGCAACTACATCCATATACTGCCAGGTCCAACTTTTCATTTCTAATCTTGGCATTTAAGAGACAAAAAAATCTGTACACAACCTACGATGTCCTTGAGAATACTTAGAAAAATAAATAACAGCTCTAATCCAGGACTCTGTCAATCACAGGGAATGGCTTGACAATGCCACTGTGAGACAAGGGACTACAACCCAGAGACTGTTCCCAGGCCTGGATGGCAGCTTGAGTCCACCCTGAAACTGCTGCTTCCACCACTTTGTGGAAATGAGTCATGAAATAATAAAAGTATTCAAAGCAAGGAGGAAATTACAAATCTCAGACACAGAACAACCCCTTTCTAAGGGAAGGAGACAAGCAAGCGATGAGGGTTCGTAGATCTGGGGTCTGACTACAGCTAACCAAGCATGCAGGATTGGGGACAATTGTCACAGGGCCTGAAGGGATGACAGAGGAGGGTGTACCCTGCAGAGGAACAAAGGCTGAGGCACAGTGATTTTGTGAACAGCTCCCCACCCTTACCTGGACATACAACAAGAAGACAAGTGTTTGTGACTGCAGAAGCAGGCACCACCCATATGAAAGATCAAAGCAGCTGCTGACATTGTGGGGCTGGCCTGGCTTTTAGATCTAAGAGCCTTCACTTCAGCAAGCTGGTCTGATGCTCATTGTTGGCCCACAATGTCTTGTTGGACATAAGTAACCTCATAAAACAGCAACACTAGGCAAGATCATTTGCCATCTACAAACATGCCTCTGGCTAAAATGAGTGACAGCTACTCCTCTACCAATCACAGAGTTAGCTTGATGTCTGTCTTCACTTACAGGTGGGATTCACTGGGCTCTCTAATCACTGGGCTGTCGTTGTTCTCCAATTGTACTTAACCTGGAGCTTCCTAAGACATTCCCACATCCTATAGCAGGTTCCTTGTTTCATTCAATTTAAAAGATTGCCTTGTGTTGTGTGTGTGTGTGTGTGTGTGTGCATGTGTTTGGGGTGTATGTGCACAAGTGCATGTGTGTATATAAAAACCAGAGGTTGGTGTCATGTGTCTTCCTCTATCACTCCCCACCTGTTCTCTGATGTAGAATCTTTCAGTGAACAAGAGTGTAAGCGTAAGAATAATAATTCATAGGAATGTGACTAGACGGACTGGCCCACAGGAACTCCTCCTCTGCTTCCCCAGTACTGGGATTACAGATAGGAACCACTATACGTAGCTTCTTCTGTGGACGCTGGGGATCCAAACTTGGGTCCTCAGGCTTTTAGGGAAAATACCTTACTAAGGGTGCTCCCCAAACCACGTTCTTTCTGTGATGCCTCTGACTCCCCCTAGAGCATCCTTCCCAACTTCAATAGTAGACTAGTAAACTTATTTACTTACAAGTATGACCCTAAGGTTCTGTTAGTAAGTTGATATTAAAATTCTGAGACAAAACAAAGATTACTCCATGACTTGGAAACACCAGCCTAAATCATAAATGCAATGTTGGGTTTGATCATGGGCACTTAATAGATGACAAAAACAAGGAAGTCTTCAAATTTTAGTCTGAATCATCAGAACAAGAGCATTGCCATTTCTCTAAGTCTCTTGGGTGGATAGACTTACTGGAAAAGGAAAAGTTCCAGTCTCAAACCTTTATTATTTAGTTAGGCTACTATATAAAGGCCCCAGGGCAAGGAAGATGACTCAGTTGAGTCAAGAGCTTGTTGTGCAAGTGTGAGGATCTGAGTTTGATCCCCAGACCCACATAAAAGAGTGGAACTTGGTGAAGTACAGTGGCACATGCTCATAACCCCAGCACTGGGAGGTGGAGACACACAGCTCTGGAGGGCTCTGCTCAATAGCCTGCCTACACAGCCTCTAGCTCGGCCAGATTGGGCTTCAGGCAAACAACAGACTTGGTCTCCAAATATAGTGGACAGCCTCTGGCAAACAAGACTCAAGGTTGACCTCTGACCTCCACACACACATGCACACATGCAAACAAATATATACACACACATGAACACCCACATACATGTGTACACATGTGCACACACATGCGTGCACACACACACACAAAGAGGCCAAATCATAATCCAATATGGCTCAGTAAAGATGGAATTAATTTCTCTCTCCATGTATTCATTCAGGAACCTGGTTCTTTCTCTGTATTATCCCCATGGGATATGTCCTCATGTCCTCATCCACATGGTACAAGAGAAGAGGAGATAGTGGGTGACCCTGTCTTCTGTTTACTCTACTCTGGCTCTGGATCCAGGAAGTTCTGCCTCTTGTGTTATCCTCCAAGGCCAATCTCCACTTCCTGTTTCCTCAGATTCAGAGGAATGACCCTGGGGATTAGCATCAGAGCTTCATCAAAGGCCAGGTATGTGTTTCTGTTGGCAATACAAATTCTTCACAAACATAAAGGATGTTTTCTATGTTTGCCACTCAACCTCTCCATGTGTAGTTACCTTATCTAATCAGAGTTTTGGAATTTTCTAGATTGACTTCTAGGACCTGCCTACTCCCTTCCTGTCCTTTAAATTGATGGGGACCATCCTGAAGTCATCTAAAATAACAGACTTGAGTGGAAAAGCTCTTTAACCCTTCCCCAGCAGTCCCAAATTTCTCAGTATCTGCCTGATCTGCTGTGAAGCTTTGACACTCACTTCAGAGACATCATGTATACTGTTTCAATTCAGGATGCAGAAGCCGGGACTTTCAATCAGGTTTGATCGAGGCGTCAGGCAAGGAAGGCCTAACTTAGTAAGACTCACTTCCTGGGAGGTGAATAAGGCTGATTAGGTAATTAAAACTTCAATGATCGCAGAGTCGAATGCTGTAGGTCCAGAGCTAAACTGTCTTGGTATCATCAACTCCCTAAATCTTTCATTCCCTGCATTTGTGTGTGAGCCTAATATCCTTGTGACTTTTAGGTAAATTAAGTCCCCTAATTTGATGTGATCCATCTACCTGATGCTCCTACCAAAACGTTTTTAAAGTATCTTGATATATGATTTTCTTTGTTATGTTACTATGAAGATGCAAAAAACTGTTGTCACACTGGAACATGCTATTTGGGGTAGTCTAAACTTGTGTTCCTAGGCAGCTATTACAAAGAAAACATTTAATTGGGATGGCTCACTTGGAGTTTCAGAGGTTTGGTCCATTGTCATGACAGGAGCATGGCAGCGTGCAGGCAGATGTGGTACTGGATTTGAGATGCTACATCTTGTAGGCAACAGAAGCCAATTGACAGTCATACATTGAGGAAAATTTGAGCAAAGAAAACCTTAAACACCCCTCCCCCACTGTTGTGGGAGCTGCGGTTTGCATTCCACCACCCAGCTCCCGCCACTGGCTAGCTTTACCCGAAATAACAACACACAAACTGTATTCTTTTAAACACTGCTTGGCCCATTATATCTAGCCTCTTCTTGGCTAACTCTCGCACATGGACTAGCCCATTTCTAATAATCTGTGTATCACCCCAAAGTGCACTTACCAGGAAGATTCTAGCCTACGTCCATCCTGGTCTGAGCTTCATTGCGTCTGCTCCAGAGAACAGAGCTATCGAGTCTGAGCTCACTTCCTCTTCCTCCCAGCATTCTGTTCTGTTTACTCCACCCACCTATATTCTAACCTATAAAATGGGCCAAGGCAGTTTCTTTATTAGCCAATGATCTTCCTCCATCATTTCCCCCTTTTCTGTTTAAACAAAAAGGAAAGGCTTTAACTTTAACATAGCAAAATTGCATATAACGAAACAGTTATAAAAAAGAATTACAGTTACAATATTTACATCTACTTTATCTTTTATCATAACTAAGGAAAAATATAACTAACTATTCTTAAACTCCATCAAAGACTCCAGAAAGATACAATATTACCTAAGCAAACAAGAAATAAGCAACTTTCAAACTCTAGAAATGACAGAGACATCTTGCTGCCTTGACAGTCACCCAAAGTTTCTCTGTATCATTGGGGCATCCATCTTCAGCCTACAGGCCCATAGTATCCAGAGACATTTCCATGAAGCAGGAAATTTCAAAGGCAGTTCAGTCACTATCTGCTGTGTCCTGCAGAATGTCTCACAGACTTTCATAAGTCAGGAACCCCGAAAGACCATCTCACCTTTAGGCAAGTTCAGCAGTCCTCTCTCTGTGGGTTCTCTGTGTTCAGTTTATGCATCAGTCCAGGTAAGAGCAGTTTCTTGCCCAAATGGCTATCAAACTCCATAAGGTGCCTCTTCGATGCCCATCTTCCTCTCAAAGTAGATTGGTGCTGCCAGGAGCAGACATGTCTCATTGTCATGAAAAGCCCTAAGTTATTAAAACATTTTAAATGCCATATTCTATAAT